AATTCATATGCGACCGATCTTCACGAACCGAGTTTTAAAAAATGAAATTGTGACGTGTAATTGAATTAGAATCATTCCGCTCCTGACGTGAAGCTGAGCGGTCGGTTTATCGCATGCTAACTTGCTAATTCAAAAGCTTGTGTCTCACTCAAATCTATCTTTTTGCAAAAAATTATTTTGAAATTAATGTCTAAATGTGATTATAGATTACTTTCTATCAGAAATTGTAATCAATTTCCGCTTATTTGGCACTCCTTCTGTTGGATATGAAAAGCTGCTGTTTTGTGGCTATATATGGGCATGGGTGCTAGTGGGCTGCTCTGCTTCAGCTGTCTCATATCGATTAACTAGGGGAGGATAGAAGGCGAGTATTCGCTCTAGCTGCTTTTATGTTTCAGCCTTAGGGCTATTTTCTTTTTGCCGATGCTATGCTGTTGCTTCTTTTCAAGTATTTTCATCCAACACTTAGCGACAGCATCATTTGAATTCCATTTTAAGCTTTCATCCAGTACTTTACATATTTTTCTTTGTTATGTCTCATTTTCACTACATATTTTCTTTTTTACTCAATAATACATCCAGCTGTCTCATCTCCTTTTTCGCGAGGAGGAGCGTAAATCTTGACCATAACGCGTGACCCAAGCAATCAAAATGCCACATCGGCTGTTTGCTCTATTTCAAGATTAAAATTTTGTCATCATCATGATACTTGTGTTCATTGACTGTTTTGTGGACTGAAGATGCTACTACACGTAGCTTCTTCAAAATAGCTCATTCCACTATGATGAACAATACATGCATGCAGACACAGCAGCAGCAGCATCAGCAGCAGCAGCAGTGAGCATTCTGAAGGATTCGGAAAAGCAGCTGAAAGCGAGTTCGCAAACTCGCAAGATTTCACTTTCAGCTGTTCACCATTCTTCGATTCCCATTGCCACTTCATGTGTTCCTTATTCCAATCAATTGCGCAACTAATCAAAAGCTTGACTAACCATTATGCATGCAAGATGGAAGGCAGATGAGAATGTTGAAGGTTCGCTAGTTCCACACTAAATGACCGATTGCTCTAATGAATCAGCTTAATTATTTGACATTAAATGTTATAACACTCGTTTACGTATTGTAAAGCTTCTCTCTCTATTAGACAACAGCGAAGCTTTTAGTCCCACAAGCTGTTAGAGAAGGAAGCACCAAGAAAGAGTAAAAGCGGAAAAGTTATGGAGAGCGCGCACAAATTACGAAAAATTGGGAGAATCAGAGAAATAGCGAAGTAGAATGTATTTATGAATATGTGTGTGTGTGTATGTGTATTGGTATTCCGTCGAGGCTTGAAAATATTGAATTCGAAAGCAAAAACCAAAAAAGGTATAAAGCACTGAGGCCCACATGCTTCAAGACCTACGCTTTCCTGCTTTACTTGTTTTTCCCAACTTTTCTAATGATTATGTTCAAAAAACTTGAGATCTTGCTTTTAAGACAATTTATGTGCAATTTGCTGTTTTTTCACTCTTTAGTGTCTGTCACACGTCCATTTTGAATGTTTCCCCCCACTACCACTACTCCTGCTCATTTACCCCATTTGGTAGTGGTCTGTGTAGAAGAGGTAAAGAAACCTGATATCGCTTCTCATTGCTCGATAGACTCTTTTCGTCATTCCTTTAAAGATATGAATGAAGTGGTTGTTTCTATCTCTCCTTAATCTTTTTTTATCTTTTCAACTCCCAGTAATGAATAATGATGTCAATCTTGAAGGCCCTGTTGAAGACGAATGACCAAACGATAGTTGATTCTAGTATTTCTACTCAAAGTCTATTCTCATCTGTTAATTCCCCAGAGACGATTGGTAGCTTCGGCAATGCCACTTCAATGCTACAATCCTTGTCAATATAAGGTCAAATCTAGTCGAAATTGATGACGTCATAATTTTTATAAAGAGATGAGCTGAATGTAATGTATCATAACATACGAAAACAAACCTTTTGAATAGATTTAACACACCCTCTCTCTCTCTCTCTCTCTCTCTCTCTGCTGATGTTATTATTCATCTTCATAACCTTTAATTTTCTTCTCAAAATATCTATTTAATTACGGAGGTTAAAAAGATGCGTTGCAAGGCTTAATGAGTTATTCCATCCTCCTATCTTTGGCGCTAGTAATAAAACAAACCAAAAGAAGAGGCGTAATGGTTTAGTTAGATGATTATAGGAGCCATGGGGCTTTTAAAGAATATGAATAGCTTTTTTAACTTCAAAACCCTCTTCTTCTGTATGCGAGAGTCTTTTTCTCCGTCTTCTTCTACCCCACCCTTCTTCTTCTTCCTTCTTTGTCGTCTTGTGCTAGAATTATTAGAAAACTATTTGGCTTTTCTCTTTCTGTTGAAATCACAACGAACCAATCTTCGGGCTCCGTTCACCCATTCGTAATTTTATTTTTTTTTTCGGGAATTCTCTGAAATGAATTTAGAACCCAGTTTTTCTTTGAAGTCTCCTTCATCATCATCATCATCATTATTCTCGTCATTAGCTGCTCAGATAATGAATAGATGACGAACGACAATCATTTTCAGTCAGAAGTTTGATGACCTAACATTCCTGTCTCTCTTTCTCTGAATTTGTTTCGTTGAGCATCTTAAATATTCATTATAAGTTTCTTGTTTGTACCTACTGGAACACGAGCTTGTGTCATCAATATGCAAGGGAAATTAATCAGATCCAAATTCTATTCTGAGGATTGTAACCAGCTTTGCTTCTTGCCTAATATGCCCTGTTATAGCATCATTGACTTGCAAATGAAGATTAGTAGTCTTAACTAGCTAAAGTTCAACGACGCTTATTGAATCTAGGCTCTGAGACAGTTAGATCGAAACGCTAATACCTCACTCATACCAGTCTAATCAATTCTTCTGTTTCAAATTCCTAATGCTGAATCATCTGTTCGATTCACGGACGTCACACACGCAAGTGCTAGCTATATAATTCGATATGTAAGTTGGGATGTGGGCAGCCAAATTGCCATCGATCCAGATCCCAGCCCTTTTTTGTGGTTCATCCAGCTCAGAGCTCTGTTTTCGCCAATTGGAAGCTGTAAAGCCAAGCGTGCTGTCGTCGCTTACTTCATCCAGATGCCATGAAGAACCGATCCATCTTTCTACACTACTAGTATCACATTCAGCAAGTGAATCTATGAAAAAAAACTATCCTCAGAAACATTACATCTCTTTCGGAATTAATAATTAGTCCAAATACTGAGAGAACAAGGAAGATGGGATAAATTCCTTTTTGGCAATGGCCAGAATAAGCTTACTAGATTTCAAATCAGCATCACAGCCCATCTTCGACTATTTGTTGACTGAAGAAGACAAAGGAAAAGAAGAGAGCCAACCCTAGGAGTAGTGGAACTACTAGGTCGCTCTCTCCTTTCACTCTCCTGCTTTCCTTTTAAGGCCATGATTACTTGCTTATAGCTATTGATTCCGAAAGCGGGAGTGCTCTTCCTCCCTCTTCTCTCCCCATTTTTCTTCCTTGCTTTCTCTCAATTTCTGTATCTCTCGATTCTGATTCTGCTATTCTTCGATTTCATTTATCCTGACTAAGATGATTATATAATTAGAAGACATCATTAACTTACTTGTAACACGGATCACGCTCAGACTCTTGTTGTACATGCTGTGTCGATATTCTTGGTATGATCACCGTTTCGTTTCTATCTAGGAAGAAGCTTTGCTCTCTCCCTCTCTTTGTATTCATTGCGAATTTCACTTTATAGCTCTAAGATTCCTTCCCTCAATCAATCCACTCTCATCGTCGTTTCTTCTATTGTTCATTACTAATTTGAAGAGTCTAACTAAAAACTTTCTTATTATAGATTTAAATTGTTAAAATCACAGCAACTCATGTGGGTCCCCTGAACTTCGTTGTCATCTTCTAGCCGACGTTAACCAGAAATTAGTTAAGGATCGACGAAAGTTCTAAACTTATCCGAAAGCATCATGTCTTCTGTCAAAGTAGCAGTACGTGTTCGGCCCTTCAATCAAAGGGAGATGGCAAATGGATCCAAGTGTGTCATTGAAATGTGTGGCACCCAAACGAGTACGTAATTTTATTTTATTATTCCGAAATTAATCCTAAAAGGGCCATCACTGAAAAAAAAACTTCTAAATGAATAAAATCTGGAACAAAGCACTCACACATTCTTCCAGAAGAATTCGGAATTGATGTCTTTTTCCATGAATACGAGTGGCTTAGATCGTGTGAGAGAGATTGATTAGCTTCATTGCCATATCTAACTGAAAGTTAAGAAAACAGAGAGAAGTTCATAAGACTCACATAAGCTTACCATGATGATCTCTGATGGTACTAATGAACGTTGCTTGGTTGATATGAAGCAAATTCAATAACTGACATCGTTCACGAGTTTCTCTTCCAACACTCTCTGTCTCTCTTTCTTTCTCAGTGGTTTTCTAACATGGAAATGCAATTACAGCTTATTGTATAAAGCCATGCTCATACCCATTTGCAATCTCATCTGTTCTCTCATGCTTACACGTTCATTGAATGCTCCTCCATATGAATTGCTACAAACATTCTCATGGTTCATCGTTCTTGGTGGAAGCTAAAAAGAGACAAGGACGTATCCTGAGCAATTCTTTTTTTCTCGACTCTTTATGGCAGCTTACGTCATTCTTTTCGTCCATCTCGCTGACATCACATACATAATTAAAAGAAGGCACAGCACACGCAAAACAGACAAACAGGCTGAAAGAAAAAGAATTAAAACTGTCACCGGATGCAATTTTGTTTTTTTCTGCTTGTATATCCATGTGCATGAGAAATCTTAATTCAACATTAGATCAACTTGCTATCTGCATAGAGTGAACGAACTTTGATCATCATGCCTTCTCGTTGCGTTCTCTTTACTTCCTATCTGTCTGTCCGTCTCTTTCTCTCTCTCTTGGTTTCAGTCATCAGGTCCACGAAGCATAAATAATTTAAAAAAATGATATTTCAAAGGAAATAAAATTAGATTAAAATGCCAAGATGATAATATGGAGAAGAAAGTTGATGAGGGAAGCAAACGATCAACTCATATGCACCAACCGCCCTCTCCTCCTCATATCTACACTCATGCTGCTAGTAGCTAGTGTCTTCGATTACAAAAAGAGAATTATAATGAGAGAATGTGTAATTAAACTAAATATGAACATAAACAATCTGTCCTTTTACTCCAATTCCCTCTCATTCACACACACAGACAACTATTTCAAAATCTGAAAGATAATTGTAAACAACTTCAAGACATTATCGATATATAGGTATTTGTACTTTGGAAATTATATTTGAAAAACCCTTTTTGGTGACATTTTTTGCAAAACATCAGAATGAGACGTTTTCCTCATAATATTCTCAACAGAGTACATTGACACCTCTAATTGTAAACAACTACATCTGTAATAGATATAGAGCGGGGACATGAGAGTGTCGCGACATCATATGCTAATTATCACGTGGTGTGTGATTTCATCAGTCGGCATACCGCTTTCATTTACATCGTCTGAAACTATGTATGCGGTTGTTCCATGGGATTCATATATTGATATAGAGAATTTTTCTTTTATATTTTCTATATCTATATGAGAAAGATGTTCAAGTCTCATGAACTTACCGCCTTCTGGATCTCACAAGACTTGCTTGAGAAGAATGATTGGTTTAAACTTAATTTTTCAGTCATCAAAGGGAACACGCCGGATAAGTTTCATAACTTCAACTTCGATCATTCGTACTGGTCGAGTGAGAAGAATGATTCGCATTTCGCTGGTCAGAAGCAAGTTTATGAAGATTTGGGGGTGGAGATGCTGGAGCATTCATTCGAAGGGTACGATCTCTCTATCAGATCTTTCTCACTCTATTTCTTCAGATACAATGTATGTATTTTTGCTTATGGACAAACCGGATCTGGAAAATCTTATACCATGATGGGGAAAGTGAACGATGAGCAAGATTGTGGAATTATTCCTAGATTGTGCCATGATCTGTTTTCGAGGTATACTTTTAGCGTTCCAGAATCGTTCTTAAACAATGGCTTCTTTCAGAATTGAAAACAATCAAGATCCAAACACTCAATACTCCGTAGAAGTCTCATATATGGAAATTTATTGTGAACGAGTGAAGGATCTTCTCAATCCTGCCAAAGAGAATGCCCAAGGTAACCTCTCGCCGGAAATGCAGCGAAGAGTGTACGTACCTCACTTACAGGTCTAAGAGTTCGAGAACATCCAGTGCTGGGACCGTATGTTGAAGATTTGACTAAGTTAGCTGTTAGTTCGTACAACGATATATTCAATTTAATGGAAGAAGGAAACAAAGCGAGGTTAAGAACTATCCAGAATTCCTACTCTAATCGTCAGATTTCAGAACTGTAGCTGCAACCAATATGAATTCAACGTCTTCAAGATCTCATGCTGTCTTCACAATAGTTCTCACTCAGAGAAAATCAAGTCCGGACAGTGACCAACAAACAGAAAGAGTTTATTACTTCTCATAGTATTTTTTTAACAAAATCTATTGTTAAGGTTTCCAAAATATCTCTTGTCGATCTCGCAGGTAGTGAGAGAGCTAATTCAACGGGAGCTGAAGGCCAACGGTTAAAAGAAGGTGCTAACATCAACAAGAGTCTAACAACACTTGGATTGGTCATCAGTAAACTAGCTGAAGAGGTAAATTTGAAACAAAATCTCCATTTTGTTATCCAAGATAGTATATTCACTATGTATAATCAAATTCTATCTTTGTACCCCTCCCAAAATGCTTTAACCGTTTCAGTGTTCTGCTGAGGACAATGTAAGTTGACCAAGTTGATCTATAACACCTTATTTGCGTGCGCAGAGTGTTCTCTAACACAGCTATGAAACAAAAATAATCCAATCATATTTTAAAAAGCAATTATCTTACACTGGTTAGCTAACAGACAAAATCCATAATTGATCATTAACTCGAGTGATACAAATTGCTTCTCTATGTTGAGCACGTCTCCGTTTTCAGAAAAATGCGTTCTCTCCTGTACTCTTAACACACAGAACTTTTCAGGCATTCAGAAAGGGTGTGAAGAAACCTATCAATAAAGGAGGTAGAATACCTTATCGAGATTCTGTTCTGACGTGGCTTCTACGTGAGAATCTTGGAGGTAATTCCAAAACTGCCATGATAGCAGCTCTTTCTCCAGCTGACATCAATTTCGATGAAACGCTTAGTACTTTAAGGTATAGATACAGTTAGATGTAATTCAATAGTTTACCTTTTTGAGATATGCTGATAGAGCCAAGCAGATTGTCTGCCAAGCCATCATCAATGAAGATCCGAACCAGAAGACCATACGTGTTCTTAAAGAGGAAGTGGCGATGCTCAGAGGAATTCTGGAAGATAAGGGAATTAACTGTGACGAGATGGTGACTTCTGCTGGTAAACCGAAGCAAGTATATTCTGCTAAAGATAATGAGACCTTGGATAAACTGAAGGTAAGACAAGTTAACTACATCTCATGACTCTCTCGTTAGGCTTATGAGAAACTGATGGCCGATATGGATAGACCATGGGAAGAGAGATTGCGACAAACCGAAGAAATCCGCAGGCGGTTCGAGGAGGAACTGAGAGAAATGGGCTTAGCAACGGCAGAGGATGGAACCACCCTTGGGGTATTCAGTCCGAAGAAGGTTTGATTCTGTTGATGACATCTAATCTCTGTTTTTCTAAAGTTGCCTCATCTTGTCAATCTCAACGAAGATCCCTTGATGTCGGAATGTCTACTCTACTATTTGAAAGAAGGAGTCACCAAGTAATTGTTTTTTTGTTTAAATCATTCATTTTATCTTATTTCAGAGTTGGAAATCCAGAAACTGACCGTAGACCTGATATCTTATTGTCTGGAGAAGCCATTCTCACACACCATTGTGACTTCATCAACGAAGATGGGTGTGTGAACCTTGTACCCAAAAAAGTACGTTTCTTTCAAAAAAAATTGTTTTCCTGTAAAAGTGCAGGTACCGTACTCTTTATCGGTTACGGTAGCAGGTGGGGGAATTGATTGGTAAATTGATCTCTTTACTGAAGAGGGGTGTGTGTGCGTGTGTATGTGACATTTTCAAAAATACATTTATCTGAACTTGTATTCGAAAGTACATTTATAGAACGCCGCATGCTATGTGAATGGACGACCTATCACCGAGGCGACTGTACTTCATACAGGATCTCGAGTCATTCTGGGGAAGCATCACGTCTTCCGATACAATGATCCTCAAGAAGCAAGACAAAGTCGATATAACCTCTCTTCTCTTGCTGGTATGATAATAGATGAAAGCTCTGAATTTTCGTACTTTCTATTAGATGCTCCATTGGATTGGAAGTATGCTCAGCAAGAACTTCTGGAGAAGCAAGGTATCGATCTGAAGCAAGAAATGGAGAAGAAGTTAGTTGAAATGGAAAGTACTTACCGAAGAGAAAAGGAAGAACTTGAATTGAGAATGCTACGCCAAACTAAAGTATGTGAAACTCGAAGATTCAGCACGAAAGAACTTTTTAGGAGTACGAAACTCGTATTGAATCTCTACAAAGGCAGGTAGACTTAGCTCAATCTATGATATCCTCTTGTGGTTCTAATTGGGAAGGAGAAAGGTTCTTAACAAGCAGCTTAATGGAATTCGGTATCGTAATGGAAGTAGAATGTCTCTGAGTTTTCTGTTTAGCCGAAGAATGCCCAAAATGGTCAACGGATCAAGAAAGAATAGTACGAAAAGCTGCTATCAAGTGGCGGTATCATCAATTCACTTCGGTATCAGCTTACATCTCATGCTGTAACCATCTTTAATCTTAGGTTCGAGACGATTTATGGGGAAATGCCATATTTGTGAAGGAAGCTAATGCCATATCTGTTGAATTGAAGAAGAAAGTACAGTTCCAGTTCGTGCTGCTCACAGACACCATGTATAGGTATGTAGAAGTACTCAAGACTATTAGATGTAATCAACTCATTCTAGTCCGTTGCCTCCCGATTTGCTGCCTCCCGGAGAAGATCTTACTTTGCGTCCATATCCGAAGACAGTAGTTGCTATCCAAGTTCAAGATCTGAAGAATGGAGCTACTCACTACTGGAGTATAGAAAAGTTGAAGTTAGTTTTTAGTTGGTTTCCGTCAAAAATACCTTGCTATCAATGATTTTGAAGGCATTCTTATCTCCCTTTGAACATGCAACCTCTTTTCCCATAACATAGAGCTATGACTTGAAATTCTCCTAATATGGCTATGAGACCCTTTTACCATCATAGTAACGTTTTTCTACTGACCAAGCACGATATCTGTAGTCAGATTCAGTTCGTTTATTTCATGAAAGAGATAGCTTTACTTTGCGACAAAGCTTCATGTATACTTGAGATGCTGGATTTCCAATCGGTGTGGAACCTTAGGATTCTTTAAGTTTTACATATTCTGGATATTCCAACGGAAGGAACGGCTCATGATTCAACATTGCACACTAATTAGTTTAAGAGTACCCTCATGGAAAAAAGCTATTAGAGCAGCTTGTAGTTGTGTGTGCGACATGAATATGATTCTGATGATCATATGTTCTGGCTTGAAGTATCACCATCTATTCTCATCCATCTCTACATTTTTGATCAACTTCTCAAGTTCTATGTAGTCTAATCATACTCAATCATTCTTCTAAGTATCCTATATAACTGTATAATACTATATCCATAAGAGCTTTATATAACACACTTTTGGTACCACATCTCTCGGCTTTAGGCAGCGCTTAGAAGATATGCGTAGTGCATACAATGCGGAACTATCTGTGGTTGGCACACCAGCGGAAGCTCCATACACAACAGTGGCCGAAGGGTGGTTGGCTGCTCTGCAACTTAATCCAGCTCGGCTTATTCCTGACAGGTACTAGTTGTCCCATTCACAAGATCCTCATGTGTTTTGCTTATACAATATCTATATTGAAGTAGAGAAACTTCTATCATCTCCACTATCTCTGTTAACAAAATAACTCTTGTTCTTCTCTATGCACAAGCTTGAACTGTTCATGTGTTCGTGATAGAACCTAGTGTATGTATGTGTGTGTGTCTCTGTTTGTGTGTGTGTGTGGATGTGGATGTATGTAAGTATGAGTGCTCATCTTTGAAATAACGTTTCCTTTATGTGATGTCCGCGAATGCTGGAGAATCTTCTCAATAGTTCGCTTGCTTTGCTGCATTTGTTTTTCTTGTCTATGTTACGGAAACTTGAACGTTCTGGTAAATTGAAGAATGCCTTCTGAATGTTGTTCTAACAAATTCACGTTCTATTGCTGAACATGTTTTAAAGTCAAGCATGTTCTTGGTTGTTCTTGATTCTTCAAGTACGACTGCAACCTTCTCAATGTACTCACGAATTGTTTCAAACATGTGGCTTTTAATTATTTCAGATTTTTTCAGTGCAAATGTATTCATACCTCAATAATCATTATTTTAGACAAAGGCTTGAATCGATGAGAGATATGTATGAAGCAGATGCTCAGCTATCACCTATCGATGATCCAATGATGGATGCCCTAATGGGTACGGATCCATTCTATGATAGGTTCCCATGGTTCAGGATGATCGGAAGGTTCAGATGACTCTTTTGCGAGATCTAAAAACTTTGTTTCAGAGCTTTTGTGTACTTATCAAACCTGCTACATAATGTGCCTCTCATCCATAAAGTCGCCGTTGTCAATGAAAAAGGAGAAGTCAAGGGATACCTCAAAGTTTCTATCGAACCTATTCAGAAAGGTAAAGTTCAACTCTTATTATCTTCCATCGACTCACGGAAGTCTCAGAATGGTTGCATTCTGATCTCTGCAGAGTACTGTTAAAAACGAACAAATTGAGCCCAATGTACTCTCCTCTGATTATCAACCCTCTCGTGCAATCTCAAAAAATCATATGAATCAATTTCAGGCGAAATAGATACACAGAAGAAGGGTACACGTCAAACCGCCAAACTTCACTTCCGGAAAGAGGATTTCATCAGAGCTACGAGAGGAGACGGTACAGGTATGTATTGACTGCTTCTATATGCTACAATACTCCCCTCTAGAAGATAACGAAAGTTTAAAATTCCCAACACACATGAAGGAAGAGGACGAGTTCTGTTTCCGTGTCGTTGTGCTACAGGCAATAGATGTGTCTTCAGAATATTCAGATGTGTTCTGCCAGTTCAAGTAAGTCGATTCGAATTCTTTGATTTTTCTGACGCTTGATGATTCAGTTTCCTTCATCGACATGATGAAGCTTTTTCAACTGAGCCCATGAAGAATATGACTAAGCAACAGCTGAGCTTCAATCACACACAGAACTTACATATCAAGATGAGCAAGACATTTTTGCATTATATTCATCATTTCCCTATCATTTTCGAGGTAACTCATGCTTCAAGATTTATATATAGTTGTTCAGGTGTTCGGTCATTTCCAAACTAAACCGGAAGGATTTACATTCGAGCGACAGAACAGTGCTTTAGGGTAAGAAAACTCTATCTTAGTTAGCTATGTTCTGATGTTCAGAAGAAGACTCTCCACGAAGTTGACATTCCAACAACCTTCTCTAGTTATTTCTACACCAGTGAAAAGCAAGAAAGCAAATGCTCCTATCCTGAACAAGTTATTTCTGTTATATGGCATATATAATACCTGTTCCTTCTAGTTCTGCACAAGTGCGATCTAAGGTTGATGTGCTGGTATGGTTCGAGATCTGTGAGCTAGGGAATAATGGTGACTACATACCAACGATTGTGGATCATGCTCAAGGCCTACCAACACATGGTATTTTCCTACTTCATCAAGGAATTCAAAGAAGAATAAAGATCACTATATGCCATGAAAAGGTATTTCATATTGTCTTACAATGCGTTTAACGCCTTATTAGGGTGAGATCAAGTGGAAGGATTGTCAAGAGCTAGTTGTTGGGCGTATCCGTCCAGGTCCAGAATGGAACGGAGCTGAAGATGTTGATGTCCTATCTTTGGGACTGTTCCCCGGAACCTATTTGGAGTTCACCCATGACGACCGGTCTGCTAAAATCTGATTTAATTTTCTTTATTCTTGAGTTTAAGTACTTTCTTCCAATTTGAAGCAGCATGGGATAGCTCTCTGCACAACTCTCCACTTCTGAATCGAGTATCAAATTATGGTGATCAAGTATGTATCTACTGTTATTAATTAATCTCACGAATGCGTTTCAAGATTTATATGACATTATCAGCTTATATGGAAATAGAGGGCAGTTCCCAGCCTGCCGTCATTACTAAAGATATTTGTATTCTCATGTATGCTAGAGACTCGAAGATATCCGCGGCCAGCAGGTATAGTTCTTCATTATACACTTTTGGTACGTATTCCTCATTAAGATTCTGTCGATCTCTTATTGGCGGTATTTCTAAGTCACCTGAAATGAATAGAGTGCCGGGAGTGTATCAAATATGCTTGAAAGATGCTACTGATACCAGTAGTCCCGGTTCCATTAGGAGACAACGAAGAGTACTTGATACATCCTCTGCTTATGTTCGCGGAGAAGAGAATTTGGGACACTGGAGGCCAAGAGGAGACTCTCTTATCTTTGAACACCAATGGGAGCTCGAAAAACTCACAAGACTGCAACAAGTGGAACGTGTACGATTGTTCTTACGTCTCCGCGATCGTCTGAAAGGAAAGAAGAATACTGGGGAACTGAGGACTCCTGTGTCGCCTTGTGAGCCCAAGAATGCTATCCCTTCGATCATCAAGTTTGACGAAAAAGAGAAAGGTATACAGACATGTTCCAATCATTTTCATTTCATTCTTATCCAGGTGTTGTCAGCAAAGTTTTGACACTCATTAAGCAGAGAATACCAATGAACAAAGACCCTCCCACTGGTAACAAGGCTCAAGATTTGAGTGACGAGAGCGGTTCCAATAGCATTACGTCTCCGATATCAGACAAGTAGGCACATGAGTAACGTGATGTAGTAAAAAGTTTTCTTTCTACAGATCTCTCATGAAGTCTTCCACATCTTTCGATCAATTGAGTCGTCAAAAGTCTAAATCGGACCAGAACCTACACAGCAATGATGAGATTCTCGATTCTATAGCTATGAAACGAAGTCTTAGTGGTAGTCGTCTTAATCAATTGCAATTGATCGCTCCTGACGTGAGTAGATAGCTTTTAACAATTTCGTGCATTATGAACTCTTAGGTGAGCGAGGAACGTGTAGGAGTTGTTGTATCTAAGAAAGGATACATGAACTTCCTCGAAGAAAAAACGCAAGGCTGGGTCAGACGGTGGGTTGTTGTGCGCCGGCCGTACATACTACTGTTCCGCGACGATAAGGACCTTGTGAGTATTTTCCCTAAAACAAGTCATATGATACTATAATAGGTAATACGTGGAATAATAAATCTTGCCAATGCACGGGTAGAATATTCGGAAGATCAGCAAGCGATGCTGAAAGTACCTAACACCTTTTCCGTTTGCACGAATCATAGAGGATTTCTTATGCAGATAATGCCGGGTGATGAGGTAAGAGTGTTATGGGAAAGTGGCGAAAGTTGTTTACATGATAATTCTAGATGTACGATTGGTTATATGCTATCAACCCATTACTGGCGGGACAAATGAAAATAAAATCAGTTCACACGAATGGCACAACAGTGGTAACGTCCCCTCCCAAGTAAGAAAAATGTTTTTATTGGCTCGTCGCGTCATTAGAAAAAACTAGCTGCCGTATCTGTCCATAATAAGACACACATGAGTTTTCCTATAACTATTCTTTTCGAGAAAATCTTGCAATGCTTCAATTAGTGAGTAAACTCTTCTTCTTTCTCACTACGCGTATTAGATAGGAATCCCTTAAGCCCTGTGACTACGTTTTTAACTTATTTATATCTCTCGTGACTTCCTCGAACGGTTTCATTTACCTGATCTCCTTTCATATTTTTATAGTAATTAGATGCGTTTGCTGCAATCTCATATCTATAAATGTTTATTTCACATTATTAGGGCATGACGCATGATACATACGTTCACATATATATATAGCGAAGTATAATAATATAATTCGAATTAACACAAAGTTAAGTTAATAAGTTAAATGACGCAAAAATTAAATATTGACAAAAGTGCCCATTATAGTTATATTCAAAGTTATTTCTTTATCATAGCCATACACAACAGCTTCTATGGTACGTGGATTAATAGGTGTTTTTATAATTACATTCTCATATCCGAATAATATATACTTTCGACGGAGATCCATCGAGAACTCTTCGATATAACTCTTTTGTTGCAACGGCGGTTCCTGTAACATCAGACTACATACACGCACCAAAATCCATTTTCAACAACATACCGTGGGAACGTCTGGTGGACGTTGGACGAACAAGCGAAGAGTAACCTTTTGGATAGGATAGGGTCCTTTGAATACGGTACGAAATCTCAATAATTTCTCTTGGAAAGCCTGTAACAGAAATATAAAGGTGTACACATGGAGAACGGCAAGTCCCACTTCCATATCTTCAATTCCGGAGTACTCAATGGTCAGACATTTCGTGCATTCGAACCATTTTATGAGATTGGACGAACAGTATACAAAGTTGTCCTCGGTTATTACTTTATTGACAGACATGAAGAAAAGGTTTTCGATTGGGATCCTATACAAAAGTTTTGCCAAAATTTTAACGAAAACTACAGACTTCTCCTCTGAGTCTGGCCACATAGATAGTGGTCCACGATCAATACATCCTATTTCAGTAGCGAATCCGAAATCCCATCCGAAAGGTGATTCACAAGGAGTGAGTTTCAGACATTTCACTCTTCAACATAATCAGTCATAACCGTCAAGTCTTAACGTAACATACTGCATCCTCAAAATGAGTTCGCGAACGAATATGAAGGGTAAGTAATAAACATTTGCATCCAAAAAAGTTAAATTATCCACATGGCCAATATTCTGAAGAAGGTCCTGAAACAATCAAAATTTGAAAAATACGTCAAAACAATACAACCGTTCAACAGACGCGCACAGTTCAAAATGAAATTTTGGGGTAGTAAGCAGTATACTCACCATGTAGGCATCATTCTCACTGACAGTTCTACTGTTACCATCCTCCTCCATTCGTCGCAATGCTACTCTCATAGCTTGCTTAATACATCTGAAACGAATTATGAAAGTTATGTTGTAATCAATATAGAACCTTATATACATTGACACATTAGTAATGTGCAGGTTTTTAAATGAGAGAAATGCTGAAGTTGTCATATATGTAACACAATTCTGAATGATCAATGCTAGAAGAGCTAACAAGATGTTCGATACCAAATTCGGTTTCATTAGTGGACAAGGACCTTCACAAAGACAGCTCGGGAACATTGTCAAATTTTGTACATCTGAGAAAAGCACGTTGATAAAGTGTAAAGACAAACTCACAGGAAAAACTAGCCAGTATCTCTAGTATGCGTGGCTCCATGCAAAACGGTGGAAAGTTGGAGATGTCAATATCTCGAACAGGCACATCAAAATCTCTGAGCAATTCGAGAATGTTTATAAAGAAGTCTGGTTCAGTGTTGAATAGCGTGAAACTCTTAGTACCATTCTGGAAAGAAGAAGTTAAGTCAGGAAGGATGCTTACTTCGTGGCACCCTCTTGTATCCTGAAACAACAAAATAACCATCTGATTCATCTAGAGTTATGGAATGAGTGTTTTTGAAAAAATAGTCCTCGCCAGCTTTAGCAAAAGCCCGGTTGATTTGCTGAGATTAAAGATTATGATAAGCAATAGCTAACAATAGTAAAAACCATCAACTTCATATAATCCTGGTTGTCATGAAAGTCAGACAGCTTCTGAGCCGCTTCGAAAACGTGATATAGCACATGATCGTCTACACTATCTGAGGAGATAGAGCATTCAGAAGTCATGTAACCCAACCGTTTTCCAGGAACCTTCACCACGTTCGAATCTTATCCAGCATGCTTGAGTCCTTTTTGTTTTAATCCCGCCTAACTGTAGATAGTTTGATGTTTGAAAATAAAAAATGATAATTTTACCGATATTCCAATCGATAATGCAAAGTATAACAACTTTCCATCACGTTTCTTGCTCATCATGTTTTTTAAAACAAAATCTGGTAAGGATACTAACCAAATGTTCAAAGACCTCCATGTTTTTCATGTGTACAACTAAGAGCGCCCCATTGCTAATAGTCTGACCCAATGCAAACTCTTCTTCTTTGGTTACTAGTTGAGCTGAAAGCTCGATGCCAAAAGTTTTAATTTGGATATCGAATGCTAAGTATGAGTGAATTTTAGCTTTCGGATTTTTACACATGAGTCTAAACTATTATCTCTGTTCATGATTCTTGCTATCAAGTGCTAAAAGTTGTTGTTTAGCATATTCTATGGATCGAGGTGAATGCAATTCCGATCCTGCTCCGATTCGTAGAAATGTCCGTCCGAACTTCGCTGAGGATGGTATTTAACAAAACATAACAAACAAAATATTTATTGACTTATAGTATATGGAGAGAAAGCGTCTAGCTTAGGTTCTGCTGAAGAAAACTCTGAATATTGTGATTCTTCTTTAGCCCATCGGCGCCAGGTAAGGAGTGTTCAGGTCAATCGTATATCCTACAACTACAGGTATCTCTTTTGAAATTAAAGCAGCCAACAGGTGCTATAACTGTAAATAATGAAAATACTCATACATCTAATCATCCTGAAAACGGCCCAGAATCGGTAACACCGTAAATGATATGAAATACAAAGAAAATCATATTCAGAGTGAGGGTGACTTGGAATTCATGTACAACGATACAGATGTTATCACAAATGAATTGGCGGAGCTCTACAGTTACTCAGAACTTGAAGATTTTGCCAAAAACTTTCATTGTTGGAGAGTTTATGCTGACGAAAAACAAGTGACTAGTTCTGAAATTACATGAACGAACCCAAAATTATAGATTGAACCTCCCTACTTATTCACTTCCCTTCCTGAATCACGTAAAAAAAGTATTTTCCTTGATCTCTGTTGTCGCATAGAATGTGCTGATGCTCACATCAGACTGTCTAGCTCACGAATAATCTTATACATCTTACAAGTTAGTCATCACAGTTTGGATATATGTCATATTTCAACCATAGGGAGCTTTTGCTGATTTCATTGATGAGGAAGATATGGAGGCTGGTGTACCCACAATGGCTCCAGTTGATCGTGGTACTGGGGGGTTTGAAATGGAATGTGTGAGACAAGCTTTCTCTAATGTTCACCTTGCTTATACTTGCGGAGTTTATCAAGTAAGCCGCTTAACTCAGTTGAATCTCACGGGAAGTATTCAGGCTTTGTGCTCCTTACTTCTCGCTGAGATGAATGAACCTTTTGACTGTGGTCTTCCCCTTGATGGAAGAATTTCTAAAGCAAGTAGCAGAGATAGTAGGAACGCCAGCAATTGCGATTTGTCTGATAATGGTATGGAATCGATGAGCAAATGAAATCTATAAGTTGGTTTAGAGAGGAAAAGAAGAACCGCCACTTTGGCGGATAATGAAAGTCTCAGAGTTGTGTTGTCATCCCTCTATCATATGGTTGAACTGATGCGGTATATCCTATTCTCGCATATTATCATAAAGCATTCGAATTCAGCAATGATGAACTAACATCTTCCTCTTCTAACCCTCAAGCTTCTGTCAAACAAAAAGAATTCATCAGTGAATTAGGTACAGTTGAAGTCATTACTTAAGACTATGAAATCGTTGCCTTCAGAGGAACCACTCGACAACTATCAGAAGCCTCTGATTTCCGTTTTGTTCGAGATGATGCCTGTCTTCTACACAGGAAACAGTCCTCACTACCCAATGAAAAAAGTAATTTCTAATGTAACAAAATGTGCAAATGATGTTCCAGGTGTTTCTTCTTATTTGGAAAGTGCTTCTGGCTACTCTTGGAGGATGGAAGAAGCTTGATGCTATGAAGAAAGCTAAACGAACAGAGAAAGGGCTTCCAGTATACGAGAACAACATTGATGTAGCTCAAGCGATGCCTGCAACAGTCATTAGTGATGGAGATAATGGTATGCCAATAATGAAATCCGGAACATCAACATGATTGCAGGAGCTCGAATGGCTCCCAAAAGAAGTGCTTCCCGGTTAGGAACCTTCTCTTTGGCGAGACAATCTGCTTGTTCTGGAAGTGAAGAGACTAAAGATGAAGAAGAAAACATTGATCAGTTAATCGAAGATGCATTGAACAACCAGCAGTCAAGTTTGTGCGAACTTCATTGTAAAGTGCAGGATCAATTGCAGAAAGTGATCGACAGAACAGTGGTGATCGAACCCCTAGGGCCGGGTCCCCCGCTTTAAGTGTTCCTCCCAAGAAGGGATTGCCATGGAAAAGCAAAGTCAACAATGCCGAGTTGGATATTTTCATCCAATCGTTAAGGTAAGGATCAAGCTTTTTGAGTTGATTATGATTGTTGTTATTAAGACAAAAGTTCTTCAATTTCAAAATTCCCGGTGACACAACTACGATGTTTGGATTTCCTCCACCAATCATAAGGAGTGTTAATGTACTTCGTCAGCATATCTATACTTCGCTATCAGAGTTGCAGGTTTCATAGTTTATTCAGAGTTTTCCAATTCAAATTCATATAGGCCAAAACTGATAAAGATTTCAATAGATATCTGTTCTCGACTACAGAAAAGATTGAATTGACCAGTACGGAGAACCTATATCGTCTGCTCCTTCCTAATCTCAGCCAATACGTAGTTGCCATTCTGAAAGTTCTCCTTGCTGCGGCTCCTTCGAACAAAGTAGTTTCTTATATGATATTCATCTCATTTATTCATTTCTTAGGCCAAGAGCGATGCACTGAACATCTTAGTTGATGTCTTGACTCCCGAGACTGACGGAAGCGATGTGCTTTCCAACTCTATTAGTTTAGGTAATTTCTATATTTCAATCATAACTAATGCTTTCACATTTAAAGATAATTCGTCCAGTAGTCCGCTAGAGGATAGTGTTAGGCTTGCCATAGACATTCACAGACACAAAGAGGTTTCATCAATGACACAGCTTCTCTTCAACATAGCTTTCAGATCCTGGTGAAAGCTTCTTCATCAATTCTCCTTTTGTTGTGCAAACACTTCAAGTTGAATCACGTTTATCAGTTTGAATACCTCTGTCAGCATGTTGTATGTTTAAGAGTAATTGGACTTGGTCTATCTCTTGTTTAAGGTATTCGGTAATGGTATTCCTTTGTTGCTCAAATTCCTCGATCAAAACATGACTCGACACATTCAATCAAGATATGAAATCCATGCTTATAACTATCCACAAGCCGTCCTTCACTATGTGAGGAACAGAGGTATCATTCGATTTGTCAAATGATATCAAGGCTTGGTTTCAGAGGAATGGCCAACTTTGAATCCGGATAATGTAGAAGAGAATCCGATGAAGGAACAACGCGGAACATATTACATGTGGAGAAACATATTTTCCTCTATCAATATCGTTAGGTAGTTATCCCCTTCTATATCACCCAATATGCTGTTCTGCTTGAAGGGTGTTGAACAAACTTGTGAAAGCTAAGCAATCGCGAGTTATGATGCTCGTTGTATTCAAATCTGCTCCAATCTTGAAAAGATCTCTGAAAGTTAGGCTGGTTAGTTTCTGGAATGAAAATCTTTCTATAATTAAACTATTCTAGGGTATTTTCCAATTTTATGTTTTGAAAGCTCTGAAGATGCAATCGAGATATCTCGGGCGGCAATGGAGACGTACCAACATGGACATCATATCTGCAATTTACAACAAAGTCCGCCATAGGTGGGAGATTGATATGTGGTTCCTAGGCAACGGTTATTTTGATTCTTCAGGTTGACAGATGATTGGGCGTATGCCAGCGAAATGAGAAAGTCGTACGACTATCATCCTGAAGAGAATGAGTTGAAAGCCGATGTCGAGCGTTTCCACAGTCGACGTTACGGACGTATTTATCCCCAATTTGCGATAGGTAGGAAAAAATATAGTTTTTAAGCGGACATTCTTTTTTTCTGCAGAAGTTAGCGATGCTCCAATGCCTGGTGATGATTATCTCAATCGTGTGGACTTGAGAGAGTTCGAACCAGTGGACTCTTGTTTCCATTCTGTACTTGGAGTCAAGCCGGAATTGGGGGATAAGTATGATTCGAAGTTTAGTCTCAAATCAATATTGATTATTTGAGATTCGTCAAACACTACTCGATGTGGGTCGATGAAGAAGTAATGAAAAGGGACGTTGATTGGGACAAGCTACTGATGAACACTAGAGGAATCTATAGTGATCATCATAGAGACTGATATTGCAACCATTCTGTTTTACTGCAAATGCTTTAAGAATTTGGCAAAATAATATTTAACTTATTCACTTCGTGTTATTTTCGTTGGAATTATGGTCTTATCCACGTATATTTCTTCCTTGAGCGTTTTTTCTTGGGAAAACGAATCGATTGTAGTAGAGAAATCATGCGGGTTCGTTTTTTGAATAGCTCGGTTAAGTCGTTGAAAGTAGGGACAAGGTTTGTGTCTGACACTACTCTAGTCTATAGTTATGTGTACTTTCTCAGATTGTATTCAGTTTCACCTAGTCATATACCATCTTTGAGTTCGGTGAAGAAAACTGTTCCTATATCCACTTTACTAGAGCATTATAATAGATTACATTGGGATGACACGGTTACTAAAGATGATGAATTCGTAAGTTTGAAACTATGTTTCTAATTGTTTCGTCCAATATTGAGGTTAAACGATTGAGGGAGGGCATTCTTGATGGCAGTAGAGCTTGTCTTGCATCAGCTATCACACTGGTGGAGTCGAAAAATCCTAAAAAGAGAGCTCAAGGCAATGTTTTGTTGAAGGTTATTGCTATGAAGCTTAACTCTGTTCACACTTCATTTAGTTAGTCTTGGAAGAAGAGAGGCAGAGGCATAAGGAACACGGTCAAAACGCTATGATTTTCCGTATCGGAATTTCTGGTAGTCCCGGTGTTGGAAAGTCATCCTTCATTGAAGCTATGGGTAAAGAGCTAACGGAAGAACGAAACTTAAAAGTAGCTGTGTTAACGATTGATCCCACGAGTGCGATCACTGGAGGTTTCCATTCTCGTCGAATATAATACAAATCTATCGTTAGGATCTGTCCTTGGTGATTTGACTAGAATGCAAGAACTATCTCGGAATCCTAAAGCGTATATCCGTCAATCTCCTACTAGCGGGTCTCTAGGAGGAGTAACTCGAGGAATTCATGAAGCTATTATACTATGTGAAGCTGCTGGATACGATGTTGTTATTGTCGAAACTGTTGGTTCGTTATCTTGACCCTCAAGCTTTTTTCCAATCCCCTATATCGCTTCAGGTGTTGGACAAAGTGAAACTGCGGTTTCTAACATGTGTGACATGTTTTGTTTGTTATTGTCTCCAGCACATGGGGATGAACTTCAAGGAGTGAAGCGTGGAATAATGGAACTGAGCGATGTACTGGTAGTTACCAAAGATGATGGACAACTGAAGGCTGATGCAAAGCTCACCCAAGCTGAGTATATTTCTGCATTGAAGTACATGCGACCAAGAATCCCAGTGTGGACACCAAGAGTATGTGGTTCGTCCAGTTAACTAACTAAAGTTTTCCAGGTTCTAAGATCTTCCATCATGAACCCCAAATCCATATCAGCAGTCTGTGATAACATGTTTGACTTCTGGAAAACTATCGGAGAATCAGGAGACTTGAGAAAAATACGTGAGAAACAGCTGAACCAGGTAATACAAGAATGGAACCAATATATGCTACTCTACGCATTACAGTGGATGTGGAGTCACGTCAAGGATGAAATCATGTCTGTGTTCATACGTCATCCTAAGATCAACGAACTGGTAAAGTGTGAGTTGCACAGAAGCTCTAAGTTTTGCATTTGCAGGCTCCTAAGCTTGAAGCTGACATTAAGAACGGATTAACAACGCCTGGACTGGCTGCAGAAACTATGATCAGAACTTTTTTCAATGTTTGAAAGTTGTACTGAAACTTGCTTGAACTTTGCCAACTTGTGTATATTAAGCTTTGTCACCTTCCAGTCTACTAATGTAGTTCCACTATCCGGTCATAATCGGTCTTTGTGCCATTTGTCATGAGTATTTTGTCAATATTTCAGATGTGTCAGAGTTTCTATGAAATAAACTAACATTCTAATGATATCTTATTACTCATCACATGTTGTTCACATCATGTCCATCTCATACCTTCGCAGTGACTGTGTGTGTGTATGTGTGTGTCTTTAACTTGCTATATTCAGATATGCCTCTATTCTCCATAGATTATGCAGATGAGAATATGCTCTGTACTAGATGTAAATGCATACTTGAGAAAGATGTTTGTCTGTCTGCTTCCATATTTCCTCATTCAACCTATTCAAGGCATTACGGCTTAAGAGAACGGTCCGTAAAACCCCAGAAGAAGCAGGAGCTGATACGAACAAGGACCGGAGTCTTTACTTTCATCCAAATTGTTATTTTGAAATGCTCCACCAATGTGAGGCTAGTGCCAGCATCTTCAAAAATGAAACTATACTTGAGGGTAATCATGATCTACTCATATGCAGAATAACTTCGAACATAGGTTTCATGGAGTTAAAACAGAAGGAGAAATACTTTATAGCGCGATTACTCAGCAACTTGTCTAAAAGTTTTGTGATCAAGGAGCCACAACTAAAAGATGATCCTGAGGTACCTCAGATGAGCTCATCTCAAACTAAACTGATTCCAGCCACCTAGGTCCAATTCCCAAAAACAAAGGCTATCGGTTGAATTCACTTCAGAAGGGGAATCGGAGATGGATCAGTATGTTATGTATACTGAAAGTCAACTGGTCAACAATGACCCTAACATGCCAAAAGAATTTTTGAAATCCAACATGTTTTGTAGAGTAAGAAAGAAGTTCAGAAGGATGACCGTCTTCACTCAAACCATTGTAGTTTTGCGTGGTATGCGAAATGGTTGCGATAACTGGAGTTACTGAGCAGAAAATAGATTCTATCCACAACTTCCTTCATAGAGGCATGACTACTTCGATATTCTTCAATTATGTTGATTCTTAACAGATGAAACTATAGATGTTGAAACATTCGTCCGTTTGCTCATGCCGAAGCACGATCGACGAGTGTATAACATAACCGAAAAAGGGATTCTTAAGAGTTTCGCGAAGGTTCGTTCTCTCTCATATGTGATATTAGGGAAATCGGCCGCTCACTGCTCTTGGTCCAAGAATGAAAGTGACATTCTCATTTATAGTTCTCGGTGGTCGTGATGCGGTTGTGTCTATAAGTCTCAAATGATAACTCTGTTCAGATGTATCATTTCGACTACGTAGAGTTGGAAAACGTGTATAAAATGTGTGGTGATGTATCTCTTACGGTGAGAAAAGCAATGGAAGACCATGCACTAGGAGAGACATATGCTGTTCCTTGGGGTGTGCAGAAAGTATGCTTTTAGAATAGCTGAGATTCCAAACTAATTGTTTTAGATTGATAGATTTCTTGATAGACTCAGTGAGATGACTGAATTCAGAGATCAATCTAAGCATTTATCATACGCTTTCATGCAGTATTTCATTCTCGGGTTACCCTAACTACTTCTTTATTTCAGAATGACCACTGTTGAAGTCATGTACCTGATACGCTTGATAATGAAGGATTTAAAAATAAATCTCAGAGCCAATGATGTTCTACGAGCTATGCATAGGAAGGCGTACATGTTCTACAAGCATAGCCATAGTCTTGATGATCTCTTCGAAATGTACAGTCCAAGCTTAACAAATTGGTGTCAGATATTTGATTCAGGTATACATCCGGTGAACTGGAGAAGATGCGCGTGACCATGTCTAAGGTGTATATCTCAATACCTACCATACCTATGACTGTAGGGTTCTGCTTCATATCTTTCTAGACATCGATGTATTTAGACGAAAAGTTGCAGTTCAATGGCAAAAGCGCTCTCTACGTTCGAGGCCGGATTGTATGCTGAAATTAAGTATGATGGAGTTCGAGTACAGGTACAGGAAAATAATTTGTTGCGTTTATACATCTTATCGATTGCAGATTCATAGGAAACAAGGATCTTGTTTCCATTTCTTCACCAAAAGTATGAGACCGATGAGTATGGATTACGTGAGTGTTATAAGTTTTTGAAAGTGTCTTACATGTTTACAGCTTGTTCTCTTCGCGAATTATGTTTATGATGCTCTACCGGATGACAATGATATAGTTGTAGATGCTGTGGTATGTTATCCCAAAAATGTGCTCTACATGAGATCTCTTTAGTTATGCCAGGTAGATCAAGTAACAGGCAAACCTCTGCCTTTGCGCAATCAAGGACGTCTTCCAAAGTCAGATGTATGTGGTTTACTTAATTCGTTCAACCATCCCATTCTTTTCAGTATGATAATGCTTGTTATTGTTTGTTTATTTTTGATCTCTTATTATTCGGTGATGTCGACTTGTGTAGAGTGTACATACCTTCGTCGAACTCACAGAAACTGAGTCTTGTTTTCCAGACCTCTGAGTGCCCGTCTTGATATGCTGAAAGAAAAAGTGCAAGAAATTCCGAATCGTGTTGTTCTGTCAAGATATCACTATGTGAAGGATAACGTGAGTAATGTGCAATGCTTTTCTTTTTCAAGTATTGCTTCCAGCGTAATGGAGAACTCCAAACACTAGTGTGGAAAGCGATTAGTCAGGGTTATGACAGTTTAATTCTGAAAGTAGAAATAAATGTTGTTTACATTGAGTTCTATGTCTTCATTAAGGACCCGCTTGGTTATTATGAGCCTGATGATCATCATTGGACGAAGCTCAATATGAAAAAGTTCGATACTGGAAGAATGGTTCATGCAGCCCCTCTCATTGTTTTAGGGGCATACAAGACGGGATCGACTGAAAGTAAAGTTTCGATGCTCTGAAGCTCTGAATAACAGTAAGACAGGTTCTCGAGAATTCCTTCTTGGGGTCTTTGATGAGGAAACCGAAACATATAAGACTGTCGCCATATGCAAAAACGAGGATCCAAAGGATGTGGGAAAATTGAATGAAAAATTGCTGGAGACCGTGAGTTTATAATTTCATCGATCATGAGAAAGTTTAAAAATTATAGATGGAAAGTATTGATCGCAATGCCGATGAGTTACCAAAGTGGCTTCAATGCTCACCCGAGCTAGCACCAGATTACGTCGTGCTCGACACGAATAGTGCGCCAGTCTGGGATGTTTCTGGTATTTTGATTCACATACTGAATCGAATAATCTTCGATTCAGGCTTTCAGATTTGCAAATGTTCAGAACATACGTCAGGAGTCACGATCAGATTTGCCAAACTCAACAATTATAAAAATAGAAGAAGACGAAAGTATGGAATGACGACGAGAGATTTGAAAGTGAGAACTCTTCGGTGTTTCACTTAACACGTAACGTTGCAGTGTTTTTACCGATTCACATCGCAGAAAAGTCGAAAAGCATTTCCCGCAACATATGACTTAGAACCTCTACATTCCAAGAAAGAAGTAGCGTGCAGGGTAATGGTAACAGACGTAATTTCATTCTGACAATGCAACTATTTCAGTTCGTCTTGAGTGATGCAATAGCTGAACAAGATTATTCTGATGTAAGTGATATCACTTACGAGGAGATAGAGGACGATGAGGCTCCTGATGATCAGGATGAAGTTTTCAGCGATGAAGAAGTCGAAGATGAAGATGATGATGATGAAGACGAAGAAGAAGAAGATGAAGACGAGGAGGAAGAAGATGAAGAAGAAGTAGAAGAAGAGGAAGAAGAATTGGAAGATAAAGAAGAAACAGAAGAAACAGAAGAAGCAAGTCACGCTGCTCACCAGGAACTCGACAAAGTATTCATGTGTGATTATTCTTGTCAGTATGAGGAAGACGATGGCGGAAGTGCTGGTTCTTGTAAGGACCTAGAGGAAGATGATGAGAAAATTGAGCAAGAAGTATCTCAGAAAAAGCAAACCATAGAAGAGAAGGCCGACTCTCGCAAAAGAAAATTGGTCAGAGAGAAAAATCAAGAGAAAGATCAGGAAGAAGAGGAAGAACAAGATGAAGAACAAGAAGAAGATGAAGAAGATGAAGAGCAAGAGCAACGACAAGAGCAAGAGCAACGAGAAGAGCAAGAGAGAGAAGAAGAGCAAGAGCAAGAGCAAAGAGAAGAGGAAGATCAGCCCGATAGAGGTAAGCTCGTGCTAAGGATAAAAAGATCTCGATTAGATCATCGATAACATGTGTCCTGTGATTATAATGTGACCAGCTACTAAGATTCAAAATGTGTAGGTGCTTTGGTGGCAGCGCCATAAGGAAGCTATTGTACAGAATCGTTTGCATCCCACCTACTCACTAATTCCTCTGATTGATCTTTGACTTTCTCACGCTTACAATGTTCCATAATATTTCATTTCTAACGTACTTAACATAACTAACATATTCAATAAACCAGCTTAATTCATATGAATGACGTGAGAAGATGTTTCTTGACCATCTTATCGCCAAGCACTGTTTATCTGTGAGAAGTACACGTTCACTGCTGCAGGAGTATCTATGCGAGCTTTGCTAATGTTTATCTTCTGAAAATGAAAGTAATAGAATCAATATGACGCAATATGTCGCGTACTTGGCTGCCTTTCTTGAAAAGGATGCTGTTCACGTGAACTCGGAGTATCTCTCGCACCGTAGGAATTAAATACATATAGATTATCAGAATGACATGGGGAAACCTAAGCATTTCAGTTAATTTTTGATCTTTTCAAACTCACATAGCGATAAAGAGATCGAACAAAGCAAAGAATAGAGAGGTTGTACGCACATTCTTCTCCACAATACGAAGAGCAGATATGGGTGATAACATGAGCAAACCTACTGGACATACGATGTACACCGATTTCAGTAAAATCTGAAAAGCCTTATTAGCCAAATTTCCTTCCCGATAACATACTCTTAAAGCTTTGACATTCTCAGTGAGTTGAAATCTATAACTAAGCGTGTAATGCTCTGCTGCAAAGTCATCCGACATGTTGAGCTTCGTTAAGCATGATTGGTTATAGTATAGAACGATTGCATATGATATAACAGATACCAGGCCAATACAAAATGCAATAATCGTGATTCCTATATGATTAACAAGTTCTGAAACAAACAGCTGCTCGAAGGCGGCATGGCATGGGTTGACGTACTTGCTGATACTATCATAACTAGAAATGTGGAGAATATCATTTGAGCAACACATATAGTTATGGAAATCCACGTGCGTTTCCTGCTTTCATAGTCTTTTATATAAATGGTCGCAAATATCCTTTCTAAGAGAACTGACAGGAGACTGATTGCCAATAGTCCGAACAAGTAAAACCTTAACAGGCAGCCAGTCAGTAATGGCAAGTCCGTAACTGGCGACCCTGTAAGTTTCAATCAATGAGATGAATCTTGTAATGACTTACCTGTGATCTTCAAGAACCCCACTTGGTATGCTAGAATGATGAGTCTGCCGAATATGGCTACATAATATATGGAGAAAAGAAACTGCAAAATCATTTGAAGATTGCGATGAACCAGAGAGGCTTTGGAGAACAGATGTATATAAATCCATGTAGTACTGATAGTCATGCATAAGAAGATAAGTTCAGTGATATATATAGATAAGAAGAGGGGATCCTGAGGAAAAGCTACTTCAGGAATAACAAATAAGGGAATCCACGCAGTACACATATGCGAGTTAATGCTAAAGTTATAATACATGTCTGGAAATGGAAGAGAATGATGTTGCAAGTAGCTATAGCAAATCAGAAATTACAAAGACAACGAGACTGAAGATATAATAATCACTTCAATGACAGCTTTAGAATCCAATTTAGAATCCAATTTGCAGAAGCATATCATTGGTACTTATTAAAAATTATTTAAATGTGACAAAAAAAAGGAAAACTGGCAAATGATCTATCAGACATTCACAGTGAACATAGGAAATAATTATTTATTAATGTTGTTCAATCTACAGTGAGATTCTAATGATTGAGAATTATTAAAGAGGTATGATAAACATCTGTTAGTTTGTGTTGATCAACAGGTGGAAAGTGTCAGTTCAATGCCGGTTCCGGAAGTTGTCGTTCGACAAGTTGTTCGACTATTCGGTGTAAAATGTAACAAAGATGAGAAATGTGCAAAAAAATGACAATTTGAATGGGATTTCACAGTCGACTGAATTATAATTTCAATAAGCATCCATATAATACAGTTGTTACGATTGAGAAAACAGCTGACGATTTTGTTGATGTTTCTGTCTGAAACGAGATTGAAATTAGCATAATAGCGTGACGTGAGTTTAGTTCTCCGTGTAAGCTAATTAGTCTTTTCATTATTCATTCTCAAACCATACAGTTCGGTTGCATTCTTTCCCGCCTGCATTTTTTCAATAAACTTACACGACGAGTGGTTGGATTGATAGCTCTTGAATGAGTAACAGTTCGCGTAGTGCCAGTACTAGGTGCGCCGCCATTGTGAAGAATAGTGGTAGATGATGTAAGAACTGGAGTAGTGCTTGTTAATGGGACGGTAGTTGATGTAACCGGCACACATTCAACAGCTGAAAGCAGTTAGGATGTAAGACGTATAGTAGTTGACAGAAGACAAGAGTTATTTGCAAAAATGTTTATTTTGTATGTTTTATCATTTATTATATCATAATATGCTTATTTGTAGTTGAATCTAATACACGCAGAGCTTCTCTAACATGAGGGTCTGAAGAGAAAAAGAAAATTGGCCATCACATTATCATACTTTTCAAAGGTGTAATTTAAGATGGATTCACTTACATTTCTCGTATTTCTGACGTAAAGCTTCGAAATTGACCGTTCCATTGTTATAATCAGGACGTGGAGGTGGCAATGGTCCCGCAAGTGCAGGTATAACCTGTTGCAAACAACTCTTTCATTAACACCTTTGCAACAACATACCTGGTTCCAGATCGTTTGATCAGTTTTGCGGTAATTGCGTTTCATTTCATCATTACCCACATTGATTTCGTAATACTTCAAATCGGATCTTGACTCCAACGGTGGCCATTTGTTGACATTTCTTATTGGGAATCTACAAAGAGCGAGTTCATCAAAATATCTGCGGTAAGAGGAAACACCCGTATTTGGCAAAGTTAGTCCATGATTCGCCAAACCAATCAGAAAGATAATAATCGTTCTCGTTTGCAATGTTTTCCTGGAATGAGAGTCTTAGCCCAGATTGCAGTTTCAAAATACCTTGATGGCTTTATTCCAATCGTTCTCAGTTCTCCAAATGTAAGGTAACTCAGACGCATGACCGACAGCTGAAAATATCAGCATTTCAAACGTTTTCATGATAATCAGTCTTACGCGACCATCCAGGAACCGTGTATGGTGGCTTTCCTACATTAGGTGGATAGACCATTTGATATAAGAATACATTGGGATTCTTATTATCCAAATAAGCATTTGCTTCTTGACCAATGAAACCAGTGAACCCAGCACATGTCAAAGCCTGCAAAGAAGGTGTTAAGAAAGTTTTAAGATGAAGTTGATAAGCATAGTTAGTTACGTGGTATGATTCAATGCGAGTGGGAAAATCGGACCTTATCGTTTGTTTGCAGCCAAGCAACATTGTCGTTATCACTAATTCCAGGAGGTGCATAGACGTTTTCATATATGTTTCTGAATAATACCAAATTGACTCAGAGAGAATAATCCCTCCTACGTGATATGAGTCTGCTCAGCACCCAAGAAAGTGGCAAATGTTTGGAATTCAAGCTCAAATCCTTGACGAGTATAGTAAGCCAATGGTACACCACTAGCCAAGAAGTAATAATCTTAAAGCTAGACAGTGATTGAAATAGTTTCTCTCAACGAACCGAAGAAACTCCATTCATTCAACATAGATCCCAGCATCACAGGAATATTGGGACGTTTTTTGGCCAGATTAGCTGGAATGTCAGGCATGAAGTAGTCATCTTGACTCATTTTCCATCCCATGGCATCTTGGTAACTCTACAAAAAGAAAATAGACAAACGAGAAGCATCTTGATATACCCTCTCATATGGTAGCCATATGTGGTAATCGGCATTCATTAAGCAAGCTTTGACGTTCGTGAAGTTGTTTGAATTCCATTCAGCTCTGGTAGTGTTGCAAACCTAAAGACTGTCAGTAATAGTAAAGCTTAGAACTCTTACAGCTTGAGCTCTACGGAAACTGAGATCGGTGAATCCTAATGAACCTTCGAAACAAGTGTTGGCTACTCCTGACTCCATAATGGCACTTTGGAACATATCTGAAAAAAGAGAGAATGTATACAGTCGGAAAGTTTTTTTACTAACGTTGACTGAGAGGAGATAAAGTATGAGCTGAAACAGAAGCTCCACCAGCACTTTGTCCGAATAGAGTTACTCGATGAGGATCACCTCCGAACTTATCAATGTTGTCTTTGACCCATCGAATAGCCTCTACCTAATAAAAAATGAAATAAATATACTTTCATTGCAATGGTGTCCTCACTTGATCAAGCATTCCCAAGTTTGGAGGAAAATCATCAGAGTGAGTTGTGAAGAATCCTAGTAATCCCAATCGGTACTGTATAGTTACAACAACTACACCTCTGCTAACCAAGTTACTGATTGCACCCTTTAGAACAGCAAACAGTGAGTATAACCAACTTTCAAAAACCTTATGGTTGAAATCCCTAGCTGTTCCTCCTCTCATGGATCCTCCATGAATCCAAACCATTACAGGTTTTTTTATATCACTGGCTACACTTGGTGAGAAAACATTGAGATATAGACAATCTTCCGACATCGAGCTGTTACTCACTCCATCTTGTGGACACATAGGTCTATGAAAAGATCAAGCATGCGATTTTCATGTGTTATATCAGAACCCAGAAATGGGTATGAGGTGATAAATTTCGGGGCTGACATGATAACCAGAATTATTACGCACTGCTGATTTTAATTACATGAGAACAAGAGTGTTCTTCATGTTATAATTGCATTGAACAATAAAACTACAGTACCTGTAGAAAGTCGCATCATATGGAGCAGTCCCAGGCAGAGCACAAATAGCCTTTGGTTTCTGGATAGTTCAATGATTACAAAGATTTTTGTGACTTGTGAGACGAACTTGAAACCTCAACTGCCCAACGGGTGGTTGAACGAAAGGAATTCCCAGAAAAACGTCACCTTCTCCATTGAAAAGGTTGTACGAGTCATTGCCATAGTTCACATGAAAACCCTGAATGCAAAAAATTGTGACCGCTCTTAGCACTTTATAAATGAAAAATGAATCTCGCGATCACTAGCCATCGAACGCCTAAGAGATAGAGAGACCTAAGGACAGTGTTCTCACCTTCAGCTTTCCCAATGATATATCGACATAGACATCATTGGTTTTGTATGGATCATCTGCTGCCAAACAGAGGCTGGGAAGTAACAACACCAAAAACCACGTTTTCATACCTATAAAAAGAGTAATTAATATTCATGACAAAGCACAAGTATCAAATGCACGATGCGTAGACTGAATACCATCTTATCTAATAACTGTGCTGGGCTGTTCTTTCCTCTCGTTGGTCATAGATTCACGGCTCTAAAATTAAACTATTACATATAAGCTACAAATTCCTTTCAAAGATAATTTTTATTCTTCAACATCATAGACCTGTTCAAACACCTAAAGTCTCCAGAGTTACTGAAAAAACCAGGAGAGACAAGATGGACGTTGGATGAAAGATCCCAAAGTAAAAAGAAGAAACGAAAATTAATATTCATGGGGCATAAATCTCAACAATAAAA